TAAAAAAAAAAAAAAAAAAAAAAAAAAAACAAAAAAACGAAAAGAATAATAAACAATAATTATATTATTTTATTAATAAAATAAAAATAATAATACAAAACTAGAATAAATTCATAAAAATCAAAAAAATCATAAATTCATTAAAATTTTGAAAAACGAAAACAAATAAATAAAAAATATTTTATTATTAAAGTAAATATAATAATACAAAATAGCAAAAAAACATAAAATTAAAAAAATCCGAAAAGTCATTAAATTTTTTTTTAAAGTCACAAAGTATTTATATTATTTTATTAGTAAAATAAGTCTAAAATACATAAATATCAAATCATAAAAATTCAAAAGAAATCTTAAAATTACTTGTTAAATAAGTTTAATGTTTAGAGTAGCTATAAACTGGTTATCTTCGAGCTATCATTACTATTCATTTTTCCTTTTAACAATCATGAACTTTCCCAATTTCTGCCAATACACACAAAGAACATAATAGATAAAAAAATTTAAATAGCAGTCAGTCTCTCAGTTACGATTTATCTAATTTAAATTAGAATAATTTATTATCTTAAAATGATTTTCATATATTAGATCAAAGAAAATAAATTAAAAACCATGTATTAATCTAGCTATAAAAATCTAGAAAAACTCAACCAATAAACACTAAACATTGAACTTATTTTACAAGTACTTTTATAATTTTTTCTATTTTCTGTATGTTATACTTATTTTTTTAAAAATATTAATATTTTTGTGACTTTTTCAATTTATGACTTTTAATAATTTAGTAACTGAAAAAGAATTTTCAAAAAAAAAAAAATAACTATGATCATATTTTTTGTCAAAAAATAATAATTTAAATATAAGAATTGGTCGCAAGCGACACTGAAACGAACAACTTAGCGGTTAACTTAGCGACAACCGCTACGATCAATCGCTGACGCTAGCGACCACCAAACGAACAATTATCAGCGACATCAAATCGTAGCCGTTGGTCGTTGGTCGCTGACTATGGTCGTTGATGCTGGCAACCACCAAACGAACAAGACCAAATAGAAAAAAAAGAACAAAAAGACACACGCCTGCACAGGAGGGAAACTGAGTTTTACAATATGATCTTCGCTAGAAAGTCAAAGATTCCCATAGCCTAGCAAAGAAGTTGATTGGACATGAAGCAACTAGCAAATCACACAAACCACATTATTGCAATTCAAGGAGATAGTGAGTAAAGTAACCCTATTAAGTGTAACACACTTTGCAACCTTCACCATGTTCTTATAGAAAGCTCTACACACAAAGGGTTTCGCACGTCATCAACCAGTAAGAAAAGCTACAATTTTGAGGTTGTAGATAAAAAAAAAATATTTTGTTTCCTTTTGGTGCGTGGACAAAAAGAATGTAAAAAGAATGAATATTATGCTTTAGAAAGCTATAAGTTTAAGGTGTTTTGGTTTGAAATTCAGGAAAAGAATAGCATTGAGTACATACAAGGCTTTATTTATGGTATAACATTGGCTATTGCCGTGTTTTTACAGAAGAAGCACTTGATACTTTGCTTCTTTTGTAAAGATAATGAGTTTTGCAAACAACTTTAAATATTGTGTATATATGTGATATATATGATGATGTCTTTCGTTTTCATTTTTATATATCTAACAAAAAAGCTCTTTAATTCACATACTTACAAACATGGATATGACAATATCACCAATGCATAAGCTACCTATTCACGAGCATCCTCTTTTCCCTTCAGCTATGTTTATCAAAAGGAAATGTGCTGGCTGCCAGGTAGTAGGAGTCATGTACGGTGGCTACTTTTGCAACGAGGCTCATTGTAATGGTTGGTTCCATAAGGACTGTGCGGAATCCCCATTACAGATCAATCATCACCTGTCACACCCGGAGCATCCACTCGTGCTCAGTAAGATGTCTCCAAGGGAATATGGTACTCCATGTGAAATTTGTGGACAAGATATTTTGGCCGCATGTTATTCATGTCCCACATGTGAATTCAAAGTGGATTTGATTTGTGGGACTAAACCATCCCCACCTGTTATTGAACATCCGGTGTGTCATGACCATACACTTGTGTTCACGAAGAAACGAATGGAGGGAGATTCGGTCCCCTGTGAAGTATGCAAGAAACATATTGATGGACCTTTATATTCATGTTCTGAATGTAATAACATGTACTTTCACTTGGATTGTGTTCATCTCTCAAAAGAGGTATATCATTCTTCCCACTCTAGTCACCCTCTTAAAATAATGTCATCTAAATCACTTATAGATGATGATGATGATGATGATGATGATGATGATGATGATGATGATGATGATGATGATGATGATGAAAAAAAACTATCCCGTTGGGAGGTGAGAGGTGGGGGTTTACTAGCCCGTTACGGGGTGAAGGGTAAGGGTTTACATACAACCGAGATAGATGATGATGATGATGATGATGACGACGACAATGATGCCCGAAAGAATTGCTGTTTCTGTTTAGATAAACCAAACAGTGTTCTTTATCATTGTTTGAAATGCAATTTTACTTTGTGTCTTGGATGTACCAAACGTCCACCCCCTCTTGTTGTTGACGACACCAAGACTCACAGCCATCCATTGACGCTCTTTCCGAATAGAATTGCATTTACTTGCAAGGTTACTGGACTTATTTCAAATGGTTATATGTCTTATATATGTCTCAAGTGTGCTTTTGTTGTCTCTGGACCTTGTGTTGGCTTACCCCGCATCATAAACATCAATCGTCATGATCATCGCATCTCTTTTAGGCCTCATCTTGGCTACAAGGGTGCAAAATGTGGAGTTTGTCGAGAAAGAGTAAATCAGTACTACGGAGCTTATTCTTGCTCGATTTGCCCTAATTATGTAGTTCACTCACGATGTGCAGTTGATTTTAATTTATGGAATGGCGTCGAACTCGAAGGGATACCCGAGACCAGTGAAGATGTTGTGCCATATAAGGTGATGGGTGATAATTTGATACGTCATTTCTTTCATGATAAACATATTTTATTCTTGAAAGATCATGACATGGTTGGTGATGACTATGTGAGGTACCAATGTGAAGCATGCGTCTCACCGATCGGGTTTGGCCCAGTCTACAGCTGTCAGGAATGTCATTTTTTTTTCCATGAAAAGTGTGCTTATCTTCCTATGAAGAAAAACCTTGTCTATGCCACCACACCATACAAGTTGGAGTATCAAGGCATTGCTATATACTGTAACTTGTGTGGTACATTCTCTGGTGGTTTTAAGTACAGATCGCAGGGACTTTCTTTGGAATATCCCGTTGTAGATGTACATTGTAGTTCCATTTCTGAGCCATTCGTCCATAATGGACATTTGCATCCGTTATATTTTGTTAAAACAAAGGAGCAACGCTATTGCGATGCATGTCGAAGAGTTCCAGATGGCTACATGCTCAATTGTAGTGCTTGTGAGTTTGACTTGTGTTTGTATTGTGCTACTTTGCCAGAGAAGATATGGCATATAAGCGATGAGCACCCTCTCTCTTTATACTATGGCGGAAAGACGATGACCGGCAAAAACTGGTGTGAAGTTTGTGAAATGGAGTTATACTCAATTAAATGGTTCTTTACATGTTCTGATTGTGGAGTCACTTTGCATGTTGGATGCGTACTAGGAGACTTCTCACGTCTCACTCCAAACTGTTCCATTCCCCTTGAGAGAAAAGAATATTTAGTGATTCTTAACTATCAGAACAGTCGGCCATTCTGCACATATTGCCACAATCGATGCAAGGCCCCTGTCATCTTACAGGTCAATGACCAACATAATGGATACATTTGCTCCATTTCATGTTTAATGAGTTTTTCGGGTGTCAAATTGTCTGAGGAAATATTGTGGTGAATGTTTCTAGTGAGAAAAACTGGTTGGTTGGTTATTTATCAAAATGCAAGTTATAACTAAGGAATGTATTTTTCTTTTGTTAATGAAAATAATATATGATTCTCAATAAATAAATTCTTCAAAGATTTCAAGAATCAATTCATCCTCTCAAAAATATCTATCAAATAAAAATAGAAAACAATTCAAAATTATGTCATGTGAAGTTGCAGACCAAAAAATAGGTTATCATCGAGTTACTCGAACATGTTTGGGAGAGGTCTCACAGCCATGAACGCATCCACCATCTGGTTATCATTAGTTGTTCTTTTATTAGGATGGTAAAAAAAACAATAAAACAAAAACAAAACACTTCAACATAGATAGACGTGTTCACCTCATCAGTAACAGCAGCTCGAGCCATGCGGTGTCTCTCCACTATTTCTGTCAAAACTTCAGTGAGTCTCTTCTTTACTTCTCCCGTCAGCATTCTTCCTTCTCCATCTTCCTAAAAGAAAAAACAGTATAATGTGTGTTACACTTTATATGTCAGATAATCCGATCAACACAGATCTGTGCATTTCTTTCATTTTATGTAATCTCTCTTATAATTAACAAGCTAGTGACGAGTGTAAATTAATTTACCTTCTTTATGTGTTCCAGCTCAGCATCATCTTCCAAGAAGAAGCTAAGATGCTTGACTGGTATATAGACCTGTGAAAGAAAAAAATATATAGAAGTTTCAAACTATGTTCAATGGATCACAATGCAGGGAACAAGTGTGGAAATGAGCTAGGAAAAGATGGAACTGCTTGCATATGCAGGGAAAACCATTTAGCAAAATTAGTAAACAGAACAGTCTATACTACACCTCACACGCCAATAGGAGCAAAAAAAAGACACACCTGGTCAAGAGGGAAACTGAGTTTTCCAATATGATCTTCCCAGAAAAGCCAAAGATTCCCATAACCTAACAAAGAAGTTGATTGGACATGAATGATGAAGCAACTAACAAATCACACGAACCACATTGTTGTAATTCAAGGAGATAGGAAGTAAAAGTAACCTTATTAAGTGTAACGCACTTTGCAATCTTCACCATGTTCTTATAGAAAGCACTACAGTACACACAAAGGGTTTTCTCACATCATCAACTAGAAGAAGAAAAAAACTGTAAAAATGTAAACATCAAAAACAAAAAGGTGACTTCTTCTAACTTACCCACCAACATAGTCAAAGTCGGAGAAAATGAAGGTCTTAGTGACATCAAACCCACAAGCAAAGATATCTTTTCTCATTCTCTCTAGCAAGTCTTTGACATTCCTCAACAGACAAGTTCTTCCACATGCATTTCTCATCATCCGTTAGTTGTATAACAAGCGGAACCTTGAAAGCTTCCTGCAAGTATCTACATAGAGAATATAAATAACAAGCATTGACCTTTAAAAAAAGACAAAAACTTTAAAATGTAACTTTTACTTGGTAAACAAGAAAGGAATCAAATGGCTTAAATGCAAAGCTTCTGAAGAAGGTCCTCTCCCAGTGTAGAGCTAGAACTTGTCTCCTCTCTCTTACGCATCCAAAACCTCATTGAAATCCTGGTTAACAACACTCAGCACAAGAACATAACTTTCTACATGCCCATCAATAAATGAATCATCAAAACACAAAGTTCGATGAAAGTTTCGAATCTGTATTCCAATTTAGTAGTCAGAATCGTTCTTTTTAGTCAGTTGAGATGCTAACTTATAAATTTAACCGCGAACGGATGTTTGTTTTCACTTTTATATACATAAATATTTATTTTAGAACATAAGTAGTATATATTTTTTAAGTTAATCATATACTTAAATGTTTATATAACTATTTCAAATTCAATAATTTTATAATTTATATGTTATATTAATCAGTTATTTAAAATTTATATGTCACTTCTTATTATATATTTATCTTATTGTATTTGTATTTAATTATTAAACAAATTAATATATACATAAGAAAACATATTTAAAAATTATTTTGTATTGATTTATGGTAAATTATGACATGTACTTCAAAGCTGGATTACTGTTTAGCAAACTTTTATGTTTATATAGATAAGATGCTATTATAAAAATCTAAGATATGTTAATTTTATACATGTATTATATAGTTACTAATGTTAATCCATCGTGCCAACATATTATACATTTTTAACATTAATATTTATATTTATGAAAAAATATTATTTTATCTATTTTATAATCATAATCTATCATATTAAATGAAATTTAATATATTTAAGTAAATATTATAGAGTTATATAAAATTGATAAATTAATCAATTTTATATAACTTTATAATATTTACTTAAATATATTAACTTCATTTAATATGATTATAAAATAGATAAAAAAAAAAAATTTTGTTCATTTTATAAGAGATAACTGAATATATATATATATATATAAATTAATGTATAATTATATTTCATTATTAGTTCGAAATTAGTGAACTATTTATATAATGTTTTTAAAGTTAAGATCTTGCTAAAATATGTTCAACAGATTTGTTAAAAAAAATTAATATATATTTATATTAAAATAAAAAGATATCAAAATATATTATGATTAAATTGGTTACAAAGAAATAAAATATATTTAATACTTTTTTTAGTAATGGTACAAATAAAAATAATCACACATGAAATGGGTCATAACTTCTCTTTTAGTATAATAGATTCAGTTAACTTTGAAAACTATGGTTGGTCCCTCCGTTTTTCTAAAAAATATTAACGTTTCAGAGAAATTTTTTTGCTCCAAATTATTGACGTTTTTAATTTCTTAGTAAAATTTATTAATAATTATTGTTAGATGATCGATGATATAATTAATTTTTATTTATTATTGAATTATAGTTAAATAATTAATTAATGATCCTTTTGTTTATAAAATAAAAAAAATATTAAATATTTATTAATCTATAAAAGATCAAAAATAAAAGAATTGGAGAGATTATTGTTTTAATTGTAGTTTTTTTTTATATTTTTTTGGCTAAGTGTTTGTCTTACGTAACTCTCCAAATAATGTTATTGTGCAAAGTAAGAATTTGGTAGACCCAAGAGCAAAATTACCGGCGCCGGAAGAATCATTCATAACGGTATCAATGATTACAAGAAAACTGAGCCGTGACGCCTATTATTTTATTTAACTCCATTTTGTAAATAAGCCTGAACCGTTTAACTTAAAACCCTAAGCTTTTTAAAAACAAAAAAAAAACTTGATCTTAAGTGCAGGATCTGGCAAACTCAACAGAACCGGGAAATGTATACATTTTGGGTTGTCTCAAACTTATTGTATAAATTTTTACAACTGTTACGTGGTTATATACATATACATTTATTTATTTATTTTTATTCTTTTATTAACCTTTAAGTATCAATACCTATAGAAAAATTTAGACTAATTCTCTAAAAGGAGATATAATCCACAGATAGATCATATTTTCGGACATTCAAATGGATTCTAAAACATAGACACATATTCGTGTTAGGTGATAATAATAATTGTAACTTATTTTCGTATATCAGGTAAATCGAACATAAAATATGTTGATATCTCAGTCTCGTTTTCTTACCATTGGATTACAATCATCGAGTCATATATTTATTTGTGATAAAGTTACAAATAAGAAATGAAAAGAGTTTGCCTATCTTTACGTCGGTGGCTGTATATTTTGCGCAATATGTTCTGTCAAAAAAAAAAAAAATTTGTGGACTGCCAAAAAGATCTAATGTCGTATATTGCATATATAACACTTTAAATTTGAAAAATAGGGAACGGGTCTGAGTCCAAGAAAGACAAAATACGTGTCAATGCACACGTCCAACTTTCTCCAGGCGGTGACATTTTAAAATATACAGACCATTTCAATATTATTGGGTATCTAGCTACAGTTTTTATTGTCCAAAACCTGTCATGTCATTTCGACTACGACAATGTATGATTTATTCAGTCACGTTTCATTATACACTTTTATACTTAACCGTACACAGAAAAAGTAAACAATTCACAACCACTCTTAGGGTCCGAATGATAATCGCAATTTTAATAATATAAGCGGTACGGAATTAAAGTACGGTAGGATCTAACTGCGGTTCATACGGTTTGCAGATCAAGTACGGTTTTGATAGAAAAGGTAAAGCGGTTTTGGTAGAAAAAATAGTGCGGTTTTGGTAGAAAAAATAGTGCGGTTTTAGTATAAAAAAAAATAGTGTAGTTTTGATAAGAAAAATATAACATTTTGATAAAAGTTTAACATAAAATAAATATTATAAAATTAAATTAGTTTATTTAATGATAATTTCATATTATTTTTATAATAAAAATGTATCTTAAAAAAGTCTTATTATTTCAGATAGATTTGAGTATTTCAGATGGTTAATATAATAATATTTGATAATTCATAATAGTTTTATATTGTTAGATAAGATTTTGGCTAATTTATTCGAGATTTTTTTTGGTTATGTGATAAATCACAAATACTTGATTGCTAAAAATAATTTAAGAATATGGTACAAAAATATATTAGTAAAATCTAGTTATCCATGTTTGTTACAATATTTTGATAAAAGTAAAAATAGTTATATAATTTACCAGTTAATAAAATAAAATAATTTTGGCCCAATACAAGTAGTATTAGAAATGGGCAATTACATACATAATAGGTGGCTTCCTGCACCATGTGCAGAAATAAAAATTTTAAAAATATATTTATATTTAAAAATAAAATTTAATTAATTTTTAAATTTATTATTTTATTACATTATTAATTTTACATTAAGTATATGTAAAAAATTAAGAGAAAATAAACAGTTTTATTTAAATATATGAAAGTTCTCTCAAATAGAAAATTTTTAGGTTTTTCACAAAAATAGATCTTAAAACTAAAATGACCAAAACAACATTTTCTATTTTGAAAATTTCAATTCTTTTTTAAAAAAAAAATTTGTAATCATATCCCCAAAACCCCACTTCTCAACTCTAAACAAAAAGGTTTACGATTAGTTAACCCAAATGATATAAGTGTATATTTACTTATTTTTGATAAAAAAATTTAAGATATATGTATCTTTTATCTTTTGGTTA